ATAGGTTTACTTCAGCTACTTTCACAGTCTAATGACATACGGCATTTTGCTTTGGGGTAATGCCGCCGATATCAATAGAATCTTTGTCCTGCAGAAACGTGCAGTTAGGGCAATTTACAATCTGGGCCCCAAAGTATCTTTGAGAGATAAGTTTAAGGAAATTAACATTCTTATACTAGCCTCACAGTACATTTATGAAAATGTAATTTATGTTAAAAGGAATAGTAATTCCTTTATGAAAAATAGTGACAGACATAACATTGCTACGAGGAATAGAAATAAACTAGCTTTTCTTGACAGTCTTCTTCACAAAGTCAAAAAATCATTTAAAGGGCAATGCTTCTATAACTTCTATACGCTTCTATAACAAGATTCCGGTTGATATACAAAATTTGCCTTTCACGAGGTTTAAAAGTATAGTGGAACAAAAACTTTATACTAAAGGTTATTATACAACTTCTGCGTACTTGGATGACAAAAATCCGTGGTAGTAACCCGTTTAGCTCATGGAGGTAGTCGCGATCTCTGATGTTTCAAATAAAAAAATATATTGTAAATGTTATTTACAAAGAGCAACCCCTAGAGTTTCTTGCTCATTCTTCTCAGGGGAATCTGCCTTACGAATGAGCGATAGAGTTTAACCATTGTGACGATTTCAAGTGTAATAATGCTTACCTATGAAATAAAGATTATTTTGAATTTGAATAGCCAGTTACAAGTTCTTAATAAAGGCACTTACTTACACATAAACACGATACGGCGTCGCGTCGTGCTACGACGCGGCATCGTTTCACGATGCGACGTCGTATCGTGGAAATCGTCGTGGCAACTCGTCGTAGCAACGTAAAAATTCATGACACGACATCGCAACGTGTCACGACGCACGGCACGACGCGATGTCGTTATGTGTGTAAGAGCCCTGTCGGCACAGATTGCATTAAGAAGTTCTACAGTACCCTAATAATGAGCATCGATTTAAACGCTATGGGTCCTACAATGGTCGTAAATGAGTGTTGTACGAAGATATAATGTTTTTGTGTGCGCGGTTAATGTGCGCCTAAGTAATACAAGGTACTATGCGAGATATTAAAAAATATATTAAATAACCTAAAAAAATTGGTTTTATTAAAAACTGTAATGGCGTCTCGGTTACAACAGCCTTCAGAGTTGACTAACACCTGTTAGCTATTATACTTATTGCGAACTAAATACATAATGTGATTTGGTCCGACACCGACCCATGAGACCATAATAAGAGTTGATGCTGCATACAGAGAGAGTAGGAACCCTGGCCATCGTGGTGGAGGCAGACCTCGTACCGTCGCAGACGAAATAGTTTTGCAGGAAGTGTCAAGAGATCCGTCCACTTCAGTTCGCCTGATAGAAAGACGGACTGGCATTTCAAAGTCGCACAGCGAATTTTAAAAAGGCACCGATACCACCCATGCCGTATTCAGAGAGTTCAAACTTTACTGCCGAGCTATTACGCTAAACGCGTATAGTTTTGTCAACAAATGCTTCAAAAGCACAGTGAAGACCCCAAATTTTTTAATACGATTTTTTGGAGTGATGAATCAGCATGTCGCAGAGATGGCTATGTAAACCTCCA